TAGAGAGAGAGGAGATGTTACACCCCACTGTCGCTCACAATAGATGACAAGGGGAGTGGGAGGGAGGGAGGAAAGGAGGAACGAGGTCGGGCTGCTGATGAGGTTTGAGGTGAAGGTCATGCCGACGGAGCTACAGTATCACTGTACCGTTGGTACAGCATGTACTACTGTATACGTGTACAGTTGTAGAGTAATCCATAAGAGTTGAGCCGGTGCTAACAAAAACCAGCTCGTGGATCTGTTTTAAGTAGACGACCCTTCAAGCCCGCTCTACAATTACCAACCCCATTCGATGTATATGCATCTACTAGATGCATGTGGATCTGTTTTAAGTAGACGACCCTTCAAGCCCGCTCTACAATTACCAACCCCATTCGACCTATTCTATTCTTGACTTGCGCTTCCTCGACAAAAAAGAAAAGTTATCCCCGCCACTGAACTTGACTTCTGAGTTGGGGACAGAAAGAAGTTTGTGAGAATTGCTGCATGTTCTTCCTGGTCGTTTTTAGATATGTGTGGAAAAGAAGCTTTTTTAAACCACCTTCAAACCACTTGTGAAATAACTTGGAAACCAAAAACGCCAGTTTAAAAAGGTAACTTGATACTCAATCTGCATTATATTCTTAAGCTTTCTGCGTATTCAAAGCTGCCATCTCGGTGTTCTGCAAGATGCTATTGCCGAAAACAAGCAGGTTAAGGAAATAGTGCTCAAGGTAGCTTTTTGAATGTTCAATTTAATTGATATATTTTTGCAAAAAAAGAGCTGTCCTCATATGAGGACAAGCCCCGGTCGGATAGACACTAGACAGGAATGAATATGAAAAAAAGATCGCATCTGATTGGGCAAGAGGTGGGCTTACACAAGTCAAGGGCCTGATCCTGTTTTTCTGCAAACGAACATGAACAGGACTGACAGCGCTGCTCGTTTGCTTCAACAAGGAAGGTAATTGGATGTCGCCACAAGGCAGGGAGAAAGGGGGCATCGTCGAACAAAGTTGTTCGTGTGTAAAGTTACTGCTGCAACTTATGTTTGCGCCGCTCCCCCTCATCCAGTGACGAGGAGATCGCGCATCAACCCAAAGCCTCATTTGATCGACAACAGCTACACGTATTACTGTAACGCCACGTGTATAGACGGTACACGTGTGTAGGGTTTCGGTTTCGGTTGAAGGCGTTCTCGGGTGTCATTACGCGTATGTGTACATGTGTATACGTGTACACCTGCACCCGTAGGGACGGCGGAGGGTACTGCCCCTTAGAGCATCACTTAAGGGCAGAAGGGGGATACTGTACCCAACGGTACCCTTACAGTAGAAAGATAAAGGGAGGGAGGGGGTAAGGGAAAACTTGACAACTTCACATCGGGGACAGCGAATGAGCGATTGTGGTGAGCTGTCCGCGCGGCAGTCGGGCAGTCGGAACGATTGGGCAATCTGGATCTGCATCCATTCCGGACGCGTCGTCTTTACTGTACTTTACACCACCTATGCATGGCGGCGGAACAGCCACGCCGCTCATCGCGATTCGTACCGTATCGTGTGACGTGGCACACACAACAGCCACATTCGCGAGGCGACGACGCGTCCTCTGCAACATCGCACCATATGCCAGCGCCCCCTGGATTGACTCACGACCACGACTGACACCCGTAGAAAAAGGCGTCGGTACATAGAGCACCCGCCTCCTCCGCCTGCCCCGCCCCCGCCCCCCAGCCGCCCACCTTCCCGCCTCAGCCATGCCTCGCCCCGCCTTCGCCGCGCCGCTGCCGGCGCCCTCCGCGCCGCGCCGCGCCGCGCGCACCTCGCGCCGCGCGCCGCGCGCGCAGATCACGCGCGTGAGCGACGCGCAGCTGTCGACGCTGCTGGCGACGCGGTCCGTGGTGGTGCTCAAGTGCTTCGCGGCGCACTGCGCGGGCTGCCGCGGCGTGGAGCCCAAGTACCGCAAGATCGCGGCCGCGTACGCGCGCGACGACGCCGCCGCGCCCGCCGCCGCGCCCGCCGTCGAGTTCTGCGAGATCGACTACCGCGCGCACGAGCGCTTCTGCCACGACCTCGGCGTCCGCGCGCTCCCCTTCTTCGCCATCTGGAGGGACGGCAAGTACGAGGGCGGCGAGAGCATGGGCTGGACTAGCGTCGGCAACAAGCTCGTCGACAGGATCGATAAGGCCCTCCGCGACGCCGCTGCCGCCGCACACGACACCCCGGAGCCTGCCAGATGACAGTAAATGTGCCCCGCCTGTGAGGGGGGGATCAGCGTGCGCCTGCTTCCAGGGGATGCGCGTGCGCCCTTCTTCCAGGGGATGCGCGTGCGCTTGCTTCCAAGGGGATGCGCGTGCGCCTGCTTCCAGGGGATGCGCGTGCGCTTGCTTCCACGATTCCCCCCCACTTAAGATGACGTCTGTTATGGCGCGCGACCGCCGACGAGGCGCGGGCAGGCCCCTCTTCTCGCTCTGGCGTGCCGCGTGATTTGCTCGTATTTTTCTTGGTAGTTTTTGAGCGGGGCGCTGCAGCGCTGTTGCATTTTGCCACGTTTCCTCGCACCCTCCACCATTCGGTCCTCCCTTTCTTTTCCTTCTGTAATGCAACCACGTCCCTCTACAGTATCCATCGAATTACACGCGTACACGCGTACACGCGTACACATCGGTACAGCAACAGACAGATCAATGCAATGCACGACTACTGTAGGGCGTTAAGCCACGTCGTTGACGTCGGCAGCAGCCCCGTGCGCCCCCGTGCGCTCCGTGCAGAATCGGTGCGAGCACAGAAACTCATTGCTACGCCCGCCGCCGCCTCAGGCCCCCGCACTCCGCGCACCATGGTCCGCATACTAGTCGTCGGCGAGCCGTCCGCGGCCTTGCCCTCCGCCCACAACCGCCTCCTCAAGCTCTCCCAAGCCTCGGGCCCCTTCTCCCTCATCTTTCTGATCCACCCCCCGACCGCCGCTCCATCCACGCTCTCGCCCCTGTCGACCCCGGTCTACTTCGCCGCGCAGGAGTACGCCTCGTCGCCGACGCCGCGCGAGGTCGCTCCGAATGTCCACTACGTCGGCCCGGCTGCGCACGTGCGCGCGGCCGGGCTGTCCGTCCTGCTGCTTGCGGGGGGCTACGACGACCCGGCCGACGCCGCGCCGCTGCCGGACGAGGTCACGCTGGCCGCGCGGGAGGCCGGCGTGTACGGCGCCGGCTTCGCGGGGCTGGACGTGCTCGTCACGGGCGACGCCGCGCGCATGGACGCCGCGCGCATGGACGCCGCGCCCCACGGCAGCAGGATGATCGCCCGCCTGGGCGACGCCGTGCGCCCGCGCTACCACTTCTGGGGCGGCCAATTCAACGCGCGCGTGCCGTTCGTCGCGCTGGGCGCGGCCCACGGCACCCGCGTCGTCACCGTCGCCAAGGCCGCCAAGGGGAGCCGCTGGGTGTACGCGGCCGACGTCGCGCCGCTGGCGCAGATGCGCGACGACGAGAAGGCCGCGAGCCGCGGCGCGGGGACAACGTACTGGCGCGGGAAACGGTGGGGCCAGGGCGAGAGCGAGCGCGAGGAGGGGCACTTGCTGCGCGTGGGGAAGCGTGCGCGGATGCGTGCGCCGCCGGACGGGAAGAGACGCCGCGTGGATGCGCGCGACCAGGTGTGCTGGTTTTGCTTGTCGAACGGGCGCGAGGGGCATCTGGTGGTGCATGTCGGGGAGCATGTGTACGTGGCGCTGGCGAAGGGCGGCGTGAACGAGCGTCATTTGTTGATCGTCGGGGTGGCGCACGTGCGCGGGAGCGCAGGGATGGCGGAGGAAGGGAGGGCGGAGATGGGGCGCGTGATCGAGGGCGTGCGGAAGTACTACCGTGAGAGGGGGGACGTCGGCCTGTTCTGGGAGTGCTGCGTCAGGGGCGACGGCGGCGAGGGCGTGCGCCACGTGTACGTCGAGGCGGTCCCCGTCGGGAAGGGCGAGGCGTTTGAGGAGTGCGTGCGCAAGGTCGGCGTCGGCGAGGTGCGCGAGGGGGAGGGTGCCGTGCTGGAGCAGGTGCGCGGCGAGGCCGCCGCCGAATACGTCTGGGCCGAGGTTGGCGGCAAGCGCGTCGTCAAGGCGTGGGGTGAGGGGGAGGACGTCGGGGGTGAGAGGGGGAAGGTCGTGCGCATGGGGAGGAACGTCGCGGTGGAAATGCTTGCGCTCCCAGATCGCAGAGACTGGCGGCGGTGCGTGGATAAGGTCGAGCGGCAGGAGCAGCTGGCCGGCAAGGTCAGGGCGGAGCTGGGAGCGTACTTGGCGCGGTAGCGCGCGTGGGCGGGCGGGTGACTGTGAGCGCTGTTGGGTGGGGTGGAAGGGTGTTGAAGGGCTGTTTCCCACGTTCGGCGGGCGGGCGACTTGGCGGGGGGTGATTGGAGAAGTTAGCACGGGACTTGGTGCGAGGATGGTTGGACGACTTGGCGGATTGTGAGTGGAAGACTTGGTGGGTGGTGAGTGGAAGACTTGGCGGAATGTGGTTGGAGGGGCGAGGGGAGAATGAGGAGAATGTAAAGGCGTGGAGCATTACAGAGGGGCGCGGCAGTAGGTGGGGCAGATGGGGAGAAGCGTTCCACTGGCAGTGGGAGGGAGCGTGTGGCGACGACGTTGTTTTTGAGGGGGTGCGGGCGCTCATGCGTCCGGCGGCCGCACCTTTCGTTTCGCCTTCCCCTGCCCACATCAACCAGCCCCCCTCATTGGAAGCTACCACTATCAGTCCCGCCCTCCCCGATCTCTCCTCCTCTAACCACAACCACAGCACGAATTTCCTCCGGAGAA